TGTATCTGAAATCCTTTCTGGAAAAAAGTATGGCTGAAACAAGGTAGTAAGGAAGGTAATATACACTCAATAACATTATAAGCAGTAGGGGGGAAAGCAGTTACAAAATTGTTTAAACAGTATGATCTCAATATTTTTAAACAAAAAGCACAGAAACAAAACGTCTTTTTTATACATTCTTATAATTGGTGAAAGTCATTAGAGCTACAACATAAAAGAATAGATTAAGAAATAGTTGCATGTAGAATTAAAACATGAAATAAAATACTTAGTGTCTATGAGAATCATCTATATACCTTTACAAGAATGTTTACATTTATCATCAGGGAAAATGGTGACATTTTAAGCATGTGCAAATATCAGAGACTAGCCAACTGGACATATTTAAACAAACTGCCACCCATTACATTTATACAAATATTGTTTTTCTAATTACACAAAGACTCAGAGAACTTGCAGTACAAAGGTTAAAACTCATCTAACATCTTTAAAACAGTATTTGAATAAATAGTCTAACTTCAGAAAAAAAGACAAGCATTCCCAAAATGAGTATTTATATAATGTACACGTAAATTCAATAAACTATGTAAATTGTGAAACACCAGAGAAAAATTAAAGGAATAAGATATAAATGAAATAAACACTTTTTAATAACTAATTTTATTTATTAGTAAGTGGAAGTCTTTCAACTCTCAGTAAAAATTAATATTGATACTGTCAGTGAAAACAATTTGATTAAATAAATTTCATTATTTTTAAAGGTCTTTAATATTCTGTTATAAAGTGATTCAAAGTTCAAAGTTCTATATTTTGATAAGTGGTTTTAATGGCCTCAAAGGTGGAAAAAATATTGTACAATGGTATCCAAATACAAATAAAAGACAATCTTAGTACTGTGTTCATTAAACCATATATTAATCTTTTTTCTCAATTGTAGATGGACACAATACCATTATTTTATTTATTTATGTGGCACTGAGAAGCCAAAACCCTGGCCCCATGATATTAATCTTTAATCACATTCACCAACTGTATAAAGACTTTTGCTGAAATGCTAGTGAATTTATATTTTTTCTGACATCAGCAATTGTTTTTATAAGCTAATCACACAAAATTCTGAAGCATGACTATAATAAACTAATGATGTGAAAACCAATTGAAAACTTTTATGTGGAAGATTTTAAACACAAAGGAAAATTGGTTATCAATTTTTTAAAGTGGGCATGTGTTCGTTTACATGGGTAAAAATCACACAATGATGGAAGCATTTCTAAAATATATATTCAAACACTTTTGCTACAGAAAGGAAAGTATGTCTAGATACTGAACTGGACATACTGTAAATTGTTTCTATAAATCAAGTTTCATTGAACACAGTGATACCCATTCATTGCCTATGTCTGCTTTTGGGTTACAATGGCATAGTTCATTAGCTCCAATGGTGTGTAACCTACAAAGCTGAAAAGATTTGCTATCTGAAAGTTTATGGGGAAAAAGTGTGCCAAACTCTGCTCCACAGGATCAATTTCCTTCAGTAAAGCAATTAACTTTATCGTTTGTGTATCTGAAAAAGATAAATGCTTTTTATTTTTTTCTGACATTTTCTAAGTTTCATATTAGAAGGCTACTTGTCATTCCTGAAAACACAGAATCTCAAAGGGCAAGTCTCAAACACTTAAACAGTTTGTAACTCATCTTTCCCAACTTCAGTAGAGTAAAAGAGTCATTTCTGGTTATTCTTCCTCTTGTTTCAGAGTTTTGGAAAGATTGTTTTGTTTTGTGTTTGTTGTGTTGGGCATTGAACCTGGAGCTTCACACATGCTAGGCAAGCTCCCTACCACTGAATTACATTTCTAACCCCTATTATTTAACATAATATAACTTGTTTATCTACTTAACTTGACTTAAGCATGTATGTAATCCATGGCAACATAGTGAAAAAAAAACAAGGGTTTGATTGGAAGTGCCCCCAGACCTATGACCTCAATTCTTTCCTCATAATGTTTTTTGTTTGTTTGTTTGTTTTTTAACTTATCTGACAGAAACTGGGAGTGTTAATATTAGTTCATATATTAGCAAAATTAAACACTTTTTTTTTGGTACTGGGGATTGGACCCAGGAGTACTTTACCACTAAGTCACATCCCCAGCGCTTTTAATTTTTATTTTTATTTTGAGACAGGTTCTCTCTAAGTTGCTGAGGGTCTTGTTAAGTTGCTGATGCTGACCACAAACTTGAAATTCTCCTGCCTCAGCCTCTCAAATCACTGGGATTACAGGTATGTGCCACGGCACCCAGCTTGGGTTACTTTTAAAGAATTAAAACAGAAAGAAAAGCAAGCACGCAAGCAAGAAAGAAAGAAGAAAAAGTAATAGTCTATGTTGTCTTTCTGTGTCCCAATACATAGATCAGTGTATACAAGACACTCTAGACCTCTAATCCAAGTCATAGAAACTAAAATTTCTATGTACAGTAAATGAAACACTAGAATACCTGGCCTATGCCAGATTCCATAATTAATCATCATCATGCTAAAATTGACTTAGATCATAGCAGTACATAGCGTGGCTATCTTATTCCTCATGCTAAAACTAGGAATACTTTATTCAGATTTGCAGTACATATTACAGATTTGCAGACATAGGCAATACATATCCCTCCTGGAGACAGCTAGCAAGATGAGTGATAAAGTATTATTGTAAATGGAAATTTTTCCCTCCACATGATTTATAGAAACTGAAACTCCTAAACAAAGAATGTTTATATATAAAATGTTTATATTTTCTTAAAGAGGAAAAATGATAAATTTAACCAACCTATATAAAAGATGGAAGAATTCCAAATATGGAGAATACTTATTATGTTCATTATTCTGCTACTAAGTGAGATAAATAAAATGGGAAGACTCATGCTTTGGCTAGAAAATAATTATTCAGTCTTCTACTTGTTGAATTAAAAGAATCTACAGAGATGTCAGTCTTGAAAATGAAGATAAATTCTTTTATGGAAAAAAGAAAAGAAAAATGAAGAATGGTTTGGTTGTTTGCCAATTAACTATGAAAAAAACTAAAAATTCCCAGTTTTTTCACTCTAATTGGTTACTAAGTCCTATGCATTTTAAAATGTCTCATTCTGTCCCCCTTTGCAACTCTGATATTGTTAAATCCTTATCTTTAACCAGATACCATTTTTAAGCTTTTTTTTTAATTGTAGATGGACACAATACCTTTATTTTTCATTTATTTTTATGTGGTACTGAGTATCAAACCCAGTGCCTCAGATGGGCTAGGCAAGCACTCTACCATTGACCTACAACCCCAACCCCCAGACAGGTTTTTTAAAAGAGCCTTCTGGATGATTTCTTGTCCCAGTGTTCCCTCTCTTTAATTCATCCTTCACATTACAAATTATCTTCTAAAATAATATGATCACTACAAAAAAAGTGACATATTCCCATTCATAGCAATTGGACGAAATTACTGTTTCTTAACTAGACTTACAAAGTCAACCACATCATTCTTATTTCATAAGACCTTCACAATTCCCTCTTCAAACAGGTTAGCTGAATTTGCCAAGTTTTGGTACATTTAATCAGAGCTGTAGTGATCGATCAGCAAGTATTTATTAACTGCCCTTCTGTGGAAGGGCAGAATATCTTTATTTCACAAATAGAGAAATTAATGCTAAAAATGTAACTTGACGAAAGCCACATAATTTGTTAGCAGCACAGCCAGGAAAATGCTGATTCCTTACACTTGTCATTACACTGTACTCAAAAGCTTCCATGAAGAAAGCAAAGCTCAAGGACCTCTTTTAAGGAGTTCTTGGCACAACAGCTGAGGCAGTAAGAATACATAATTCTTTGAGGCTAGGGGAACAGAAAAAAAAAGGATTCCTAGCAGATACTTGCAATTAATTAAAATGTAGAAGGGAGTCCAGTGAGACAAATTAAGTTGACAGGAATATTAAGAGGGTAAAGAGGAAAAAATAGTCTAAACCAGAAAAGTGCAGAGTCAGGAAAGCCAAAAATGGAGTAAGTACTTGGTGATCTTAAGTGCCACACCAAGTTGGAAGAAGAGGAGGGTTGGCATTGGGGGTAACACATGAGATGGCTGAAATTCAAAGAAAAATAAATTTAACTCTTCAAATATTATAGAAATAACAAAATTTCTTCAAAATGATTACCATTGTCCATTTGGTACACCAGTAAGGGGGAGCTGTATTTATTTTTCATATATTCAATTTCTATTTCACAAATTATATTACATAAAATCACTGTGGAAAGTTTTTCAATGTTTAAAAATTACAAAACCTAAGAAAATACAGCATCTATGAATCTGTTTTATAGAAACACAATTTGATCTTTTAAATCACAGCTTAACTATATCAGCATAATCTCATTGGCTATTTTTTATTTGGCAAGAAACTATTTTCAGCTTTTATCTTCCCCACATTTGAGAGCATTTGGATTAATATAAAAAATAGTTTATTATATTTTTGCTGTACTCTACTAATTCAGAGGTTCAGTAAAGGAAAAGAGTGAGCTATAAAAAACCAAAGTTACAGATATACTCAGCAAAATTATATATAAAATATTTTCACTAAGTTTTAATAAGAAATGCTATCAGAAATAATGTGGTCATTAATGTGGGAGTTTGCACAGAAGGAAAATTGACCTATTTTATCCTTGTTCTTACATGACAGATATAAAACACTTTTAACTAAAATCAACTATAATTAGTTTAATCTGCAGAATATGAAGATCCTAGAAAACTGTATCTAACTCAAAGTTTTATTGTTTGGCGCTGGGGATTGAACCTAAGGCCTTACTCATGTCAAGCTCAAGTTCTACTACTTTAGACATCATCCCAGTCCCTAACATAAAGTTTTAAAAATTTTAAATTGTATAACTAAGAAGAACCAATAAAATTTTTAATTGCCCATTAATGAGTTAAAATTTAAAAGACACAAAGGAGCTATTCAAACAACTTGCTACTTACCTTGTTCAAGTCTGAAGAGGGTCTTTTCCAGCTTTTCCATTTCGTTTAGTAGTAAAATTCTAATCTGTTTACCATGTCCCATTTTGGATTCTGGAGGCTTTGAAATCTTTCAGAAGAATTAAAGGAACTCCAAAATCAAATGAGTTACCCCTGTGACACACAAAAAAAGGAATTACAAAAAAGAAAATAACTATTACCTTAAACTCTCCAGGGCTGACAGCTAGCTGCACTTACATGTTCTAAATGTCGTTTAACTCTAGCAGAGCAATGAGAAAGAAGGAATCTTATAAAGAAGATCCGAGATGGCAAATTGTTTTCTCTTCCCTTAAAGCACAATGAGGAAGACTGAAGCAAATATACTGTATTGTCAATTCTTACAAATAAAACATAACAAAACCAAACAAGTTAAAGCATTCTCAGAGAAAAGCGATACTATTTAAGAAAGCCTGGAGTTCAAGGGGAAAAATTCCCCGGTCTCAGGCCAAAAGGCTGTCAAGTCTCCAAATGGCACTTCTGCTTACAGGAGATTAGTCTGCTCAAAGATAACAGGTGGGAGATCGCCCCATTCCCAAATTCGGGTCAGAAGCCACCAATGGGGAGATGAGAACAGAGGAAAGCAGTTGTCGCCCCTGGAATAGCTGTAATAGACATAGGATGGACAGAGAGAGCTATAGATAGAAAGAATGCATTGCTCCGGGAGGCCAGCAGCATTCCTAGCACTTACGGTGAGCAAGTTATACAGGCGGCATCTAGGAAACCCCGGGTCTGGCGCTATTCGGGGGAGGGCACGGGAAGGCAAGCAAAAGGGGACAGGCCGGCTGCCCAGCCGTGGACAAACGCCGCAGCCCAGGGAGGGCAGGGCGCGGTGAAGGGCAAAGGGAGGGGAGGTGGCGCCAGCACCCGGAGACCAGCGGGGAGCGTCCCCGAGACTCCGCCTCGCTTGGGTCCCCCGGAGGCCCAGATTCGACCCGGCGAGGCGTGCACTGGCTTAGGTGGGAGTGGACCTGCCTCTCTTCCACTTCCGGGAACCTCCAGGCCCACTAGCCCAGACCGCTAGTCTCGCGAGAATGTGTTCACTGCGGAGTTTCAGGCTGCGGGAAGCCGGCTTCCCAAGTGGCTGCAGCGGGCCCAAGCTGGGAACCGCTATTTCTCCCGGCTTTAGGGGAGGTGTGGCGGCGTGGGTGCCACAGCCTGTGAACTTAAAATTCTGTGGTTCCAGGCTACGAAATAGATTGAGCCGCCCAGTAGGATCTTTTCGTGGGAAGGACTGAATGCTGAGAGCCAAGCAATGTGGCTTCTCGTGCCTTTTCTACCACTGTGTGTTTCCTGTTTGGGGGGGGGGGGGGGGGGGTTTCTTGTTTTTTCCCAAAAAAAAAACTTGCCTAAGTTCCCCTAGCCTTGATTTCCCTGGGTTTGAAATAAGGAACCTGGCTACAGTCTCTGACATACCATCCAACAGGTTTCCATCCTTTCTGGGCTCAGTGGTGCATCTGTGTAACCCATCTATTCAGGAAGCTCAGGCAGGAGAATTGCAAGTTTGAGGCCAGCCTCAGCAACTCAGTGAGACCAGCTCAAAACAAGACCCCACAACAACAAAAACAACAAACAAAAAATCATATCCTAGCAGGGAACATCTTCCTGAATGCAGACACTGGACTAGGTGGGTGAAGTGTGGCCAGTCTACAATAGAGAGGATGAATACTGCTTGTATTTACAACATCCGGTTGTACCAGATGATCATCTTGAGATTAAGCTGCACATATTTTACACCAGAATTTCTGGACTCTGTGTAGATGCCTAAGAAGATTTTATGCCTGAGGGAAAAGGAAAACCCATCTTTCAGAGTTTTTCAAGAACACCTAATGGTCATGAGAAAATGGACAAAAGGTTGGGGTTAAGTTAACCAGGTATGGATAAGAATCTTATTTTACTGTGAAATTACAGTTTTGTAGGTCCAAAAAGGATGCTGAGGTGTTTTTGTTAATCAACTTTGTGTGTGTGTGTGTGTGTGTGGTGATGGGAATTGAACCCAGGACCTTGTGCATCCCCTTCAAGCATGTGCCCCCATATAACTGGGAGATTTCCAATTAGACTTGCCTCTTAGAGATCCCACCTAATAGTGTTGCAGGCTGGGGGCCCAGCAATCAACACATGAGCATTTGGTGGACATTCAACCAAATCATAGAAGATGGGGTGGTCATCAAATCTTGTAAGGCTTTGCAGGCCATTCTAAGGACTTAGGCTTTTACTCTGGGAAAAAGAGACACTGAAGGATTTTGAACAGAGGAGTGACCCTTTAAAAGTATCACTCTGAGGCCTGGGGATATAGCTCAGATGGTAGAGTGCTTGCATTACACGCACAAGACCTGGGTTCAACTCCCAGCAGCACACACACAATTTGTAAAAATATCACTCTGCAACTTTGTGGGGGACAGCTGAATAAACTGAAGAGGGTAGCAAAAGAAGGACTGTAAGGAGAACAGTTACAACATATTTCAATTATCCAAGAAAGAGAAAGTGGTGTACACATGTGCAAGTTTTGGGATAAAGGTGTAGCCATGAGAAGTTGTTGAATTCTAGTTTCTATTTTGGAGGGCAGGATTTACTCGAGAGAAAGGTGTCAACTATGATTCCAAGGTTTTTAATCTATGAAAACAACCATAACAAGCACTGTTCAATAGAAATCTTGAGTGTAATTGAAAAATTTCAAGTTGTCACTTTAAAAAATGGGTGAAATTTTCCTATTAGTAACATATATTAACACTATGTCTAAGTCATTATTTCAACAAATAATCAATATAAAAAGTTATTGATGAGATGTTTTATGTTCTTTTTTCATATTAAGTCTTCACAGTCGTGTTTGCACTTTATACTTCTAGCATGTTTCAGTTCCAACAGCCACATATCATGGGCTCAATAGCTTCATGTGGCTAATTGCTACCATGCGGACAGTACAGAAGTTGCCATTTTTTTTAGAGAGGAAGAATAAAGGGAAGGGGTAGGAGTAGTTGATGAAATCAGGAGTTTGTAGACAGTAAACTTGAGAGCATGATTAAACATCCTATTAGAGATATCAATTTAACATTTGTATCCCTGGCCTCCAAATTATTGTTTTTCAAATTCGTTAAAGACCTGTAAAAACAATTTATTAGCTGTAATCAACAATTTTTAAAATGAAATAAAGAATATATTAATGAATTACATCTGGTAAAAGTATTATTTCATAAAACATCACTTTCTATTTCTTAATTTTGATGTATTGAGTTATGATTCCTACTGGATATCATGGTTAAAAAATGTTTGAAAGTGACTGCCCTGGAATGCCTGCTGTGCAAAACTGTAATTTATTATTGTGAAATAGTACCTGGGTTTTATTTCCAGTTTTGCCAATAACTGAGAAGCTTTGAAAGGTACTCAATCTCTTTTTAATTGATTTTTTCAACTGTAAAATGGGAATAAAAATAGTACCTACTACAGATCCAATGCAATACAGATTTTGCTCTGAACTGTCTCACAGAAAACCCTTTGATAATGAAACCTTTGATGATAAAATCCCCATCAAAATACCAGTGATATTGGAGCTGGGATTGTGGCTCATGGTAGGGTGCTTGCCTAACATGTGTGGGGCACTGGGTTCGATTCTCAGCACTGAATATAAATAAACAAAATAAAGTTCATTGACAACTAAAACAATATTTTAAAAATACCAGTGACATTATTCATAGAACTAAAAAAAAATACTAAAGTGTATATGGAAGACCAAGCCAGGCATGGTGGTACATGCCTATAATCCCAGCAACTCAGGAGGCTGAGCAGGAAGAACACAAGTTCAAGGTCAGCTCAGCAACTTAGTGAGGCTCTAAGCAACTTAGACAGAATCTGTCTCCAAATTAAAAAAATAAAAAGGACTGGGGATGTTGCTCAGTGGTTAAGCACCCCTAGGTTCAATCCCTGGTACCAAAAAAAAAAAAAAAAGAAAGAAAAAGAAAAAAAAGTATACAAGAACAAAAGACCAAGAATAGCCAAAGCAATTCTGAGCAAAAAATAGTAAAGCTGGAGGCATCATACTACCCAAATTCAAATTATACTACAAAGCAATATTAAAAAAAAAAAACTTGGTATAGACATATAGTATAATGGAACAAAAGAGAAGCACTAAAACAAACCCACACAGCTAGTAATCTGATTCTTGACAAAGATGCCAAAAATTTACAGTGGAAAAAAAAACAGCTTTTTAGTTTTATGCCATCCCATTTCTTGATTCTCGGTAGTACTTCCTGAACTATAAGAGTCCTACTGAGGAAGTTGCTACCTAAGCCTACATATTGGACCATTTTCCCTATGTTCTTTTCTAGTAGTTGCAAAGTTTCTAGTCTTATTTCTTGGTCTCTGGTTCATTATGAGTTGACTTTTGTGCAGGTGAGGTACAAGAAGAAATGTTGTATGGTATTTCCAGGATTCTCCTTAAAGGAAGGAAGTTCAACCATTTCTCAGATGGATATCCAGTTTTTTAGGTTTTTACATATGGATATCCAGTTTTCTTAGCACCATTTGTTAATGACTTAAATAAAAGATATGTTTATTTTTATCCCACATGTAAGTCCAGAGATAAGTGTTTCAAAATTGGTAAGGCAGCTTTTGAAGCTATCAGGAATGTAGGGTCTTCCTTGCTGTGACCTGCACCGCTGTTGACTCAGAAATCAGCAATGGGCGATGGGGGGATTAGAAAAGACAAACAGACACACATACACAAAGAAAACTGGGACCAGGTGGGACATCATCCTCTGATAGAGGAACAATGGTCCAGAGCTACTTTATCTCTGTGTTACATTTATTATATAGGTTTTATCATCAAAGGGTTTTCTGTGAGAAAGTTTCTTCAGAGCAGGCAGACTAAAGGACAAAGCCAATTATAATTATCTACTTGTGCTAATAATTCTCTACCCCTGGCAGCTGGTGTCTGAACTCAGGGTCAAGACTGATAGTCCTGTGCCTTTCACAAAACCTCTTTTAAGCAGGGAGTCACTATAGCAACTGGGCATTCTCGATCTGCACCTTTACACAGGAAGTTCCCAGTGCATGTCCATATGCTGCTGTGGGACAGTCAGAAACCGTGATTCAAATCATTGCTTCCTGCAATACCTCATACT